TTCGTTTTTTTGTAAATTTGCAAAGCAACAACTCTTTACTTTCATTTGAAAACAGATGAAGGCAGTGATAAAATTTAACCACTTCTTTTCTGTGTGAAATATTAAGTTCTCATCAATAAATATCTCTGAAATATGGCTTAATTGAATTAATTTTTAAATTATTGTGGACTGAATCTGACCAAGTTCTCGGATCCCTTGAGTGGATTATGCACTAAGAATAATTAAATTTTTCTTTTGATTCATGGAATTGGAAACTAGCTGAATTATTGTTTTTGTCACATATGACTAAATATGGAGTTGCATCCATTATTAAATCTGTTCTTTCCATTTTCACATAACCCATGTTTTCTCACAAATTCGTGCTCCATATGAAAGCTCAACGATATTATCTTTTGCATCCTCTTTTTTTTTTCACATTGAAGAATATTTTTCCAGATTCTGTTTCTGGAAATTTCATTACTATAGTTATTTCATGCGTCATTACATTATTTACCTACAGTAAGACCTCCATCATACATTTTCTTTAAACATTTATGTCATTTTAATTCCTGCTGTGATTGTGTGCTTCAGTAAATATTATCTTGTAATTTGACTAACTCGCGGGTACAATTAACATTTAGCATAAATATTGCGTATGTTCATAGATGCATCATACAGACGAACACGCTTTAAAATCTGTCTGTGGGAGAGATTTCTGGTCAATCTAACCTGAAAATCCTGAATATACTAGAAAGTTTATTTCTTTTAAAAGATTATAATTACATCTTTTTTTCTTAGAGCAGTATTTTAGAAATGATACAATGAAATGGGAATATTTCAAAGAAAAGCAACTGAATAGAAAAGAAAGCTTAAGGATAGGATCTGACATCTAAATTTCTGTTTAGAAATGTAGCAGTGTATACAATAATCATTTGGTAATCAACTGGAATAAATTCATTTCTAGCATATTTGGAGAAACTGGGAAAAAAAAAATATTCTCTCACTTTTTCAGAGAAAGGTAATTAAGAAGTATGATAGACGTAGCAGATTTGAAGAATCTGCAGCAGCTGTCATTGGACATTTTCTCGTTAGGGAATTGTCAAGAAACAAGGCATCATGACTGACAATTTTTATTTTAAAATTTAAAATATAAAAGAACAGTTTTATTTGGAAATTCAACACATATTTATTAGTCTTGTTACGAATTTTTTATATATGTAAAGAATTTCTGTGAAATTATATGTAAAATTGTAGTACCACTCTTGTATAATGTGGCATGAAATCCCTCAAAAATTCGAAGCTCCGCCGGAAAAATAATGTTACAGGGCAAGTGCGAGATAGTGCCAAACTGGTGATGATTTTCGTGATTAATTTTTGTATCCAAATGTCGCCCAATTTGGCAACCTCTTAGCGACATTTTGGCGCGACCTCTGTGTATAACTCAACTATAACTGGACCATCATTATGTAACCATTTTCATGTGTATCACTGTCCGTGTGTACCATATCCGTTTATATCACTATGCAGGCCGTACGTATCACTACCATTAAGGAACCATATCCGGGCCTATATACAACTGTGACTGTATAAGCCTTCCAGCAATTTCGATAAATCGAAGGTACTGGAAATTTCTCGGCGGACGTATGAAAACTGTATAAGGCTGGAGGGAGCACCAGTTCTTAGTATCTGCGACCGCATATGGCACGAAGGTCTACTTTACAAACTTGGAAAAATAAACTTAGCAATTGCACGGATCAAATTATTCAAATCATATCTGAAATGTCGAACTTTTCAAATAAAAGTAGGGGATGCTCTATCAAGTAAAATGATTATTTGTACGGGAGTGCAACAAGGTTCGGTTTTTACAGCCGTGTCTTTTTAACATTTATATAAAGGAGTTTTCTGAAACACAGAAATACAAATATGCAGATTATACGGCTGTTATGATGAAATTAATCAACCTTAGCCAGGAAATTGATAATTTATTTCTGAACATAGTTGCATATTGATGTGGTTTGGGGAAATTTATAAGCTTAATGCGTATAAATGCAGTGCTGTCCTGTTTAGACGTTACAAGAAGAACCAACAAGTGAATCTAAACCCCAAGATTAATAATGAAACTCTGCTGTTTGTACATTCCATAAAATATTTAGTTGTTTTTTTAGACGAGTAACTAAATTTCAAAGAGTCCGCAATATATGCTTTTTTAGGCCAACTTTGTTTAGATGGCGATTTACAGTTTCATAGGGAGAAAAATCAAACTTAGATTTGCTCATTAAAAGAAACTTATATCTCATCCTAATTCGTCACCCTAATTCTACGCCGTTACCGAAGCAACAGCGCTTATGACTTACAGGAAGAAAGTCATATTTCAAAACAAAATCTTCAGACTAACGCACCATGTTTTGTACGAAATCAACGACTACACCAAGATCTTGAAATTCCGCAGGCACAAGATTATATTTTTGGAAGTTCAACTTCATGAAAATTATGAAATATAATTATGCCCATGTTGTTGCTCAATTAGCTGATTATGATCCTACCATTGAAAATACGTTTAAATGCAAACGCACAATTCATCAAAATGCTGCTGATTAATCTGAATTGTGAATGCACCTATATATATTTGTGAACATTTCATACTTTCTTTTTTAGTATCTAAATTACATTGCACTTCATTTATATTCTTATTCCATCTCCTCTTTCCTGTGTACAAGACTTCAAATATTTTTGGATTTCTTCATTTCATGTTTTCTACAGCCATTACTTAGTACTCGTTATAGTAAATTTTCTAGCTGCCTGCCGGAAAACGTAATTACCAGCTCGAACTGGCGTCTACTCCTGCAATGAAATCGAAGAGTAAAATGCTGGGGTAGCTACACTAATTTCTCATTAAGCTTTATTGTTTCGCCGATAACAATGGTTCTTTTCTCTTATGTATACATAAAGCTAATGACCTAGAGCTCTTCCAAATTCATGTAGAAACCAATTGGTTGCATGCCTGTTTCAAAGCCACTGTCAACGTTTAGTTCTTAGTTTATAGTTCAGGGTTGAGTTCGGACCGATTGAGAGATCTCTGTGTAAGCTTCGCTCTTTGGATACGCTTTGCATTACATTGTATTCAACGTTCTGAGTAGTTTGAAGTGGTCTTTGTCATACAAGAAGAGCTGTACGAGTACTTTTGTGAAAAATTCCGGAACTGTAAAGTGTTTTTGTTGGAAAATACATTTTATCAAGCTGTCATTGATTCTGTGTGCATTCAATCCATTGTGAACCTGTACGCACTTAACAGTATCATTTATATTAATATTGTATGCTTTGTTCGCTTACGCGTCAAAATAAACTATTACGCTACCAGCGTATCGCGGACTCTAAGAGACTACTGAAAATATTCTAAAGTAATAATTTATTTGCTGAAAAGAATTTTGGAATTGAAATAAAATATCACTCGTGTAAATATTAAGTCATTCTTCTTTAATAAGCCTAGCTTAACTACACAAACATATTTTTCTGATTTTATAAATTGTTTTGTTGTCACTTCCCAGAAACTAAACTAACAATAATTATTAGTGGTCAAAAATAAATAAATAAATAAAAAACATAAACTGAAGAACGTATAAAATACAAACTACATTCATTTGAAATCCAACATGCTTGTTGTACAGAGTCTTTTGCAATTCAATCATCTTTCATTTCTTTGAAGAAATCGTCCTGTGACTAATTGGTTAGCTTAGATTAAGCTATTTGAATACGGCATACATTGCCGTATTCAAATGTACTATGAAGGCTTCCACCTTGTTGGTTTGTGAATGGCATATATACAGTGTCTCACAAAAGTGATGGGACACTTGTGCTTTACAAAAGGAAACTGCAATAAAATAAATTTAAAAAACATGTAAATTTTTTCGTGGCTGTTTTTGATACTTAAATTTAGTAACAATTATTACATAACATACATTTTCTCAAAATATTAAAATATTAATTTATAAAAATACAATTGTTTAGAACGGAGCAGAAAATGGCTCACTTAAGTGATGGGACACTTACTTTTCCATCAAATATTTATCCAAAAAATTTACAAAATTTTTACTTTTTAAAAGGTTTTAATATTTTGTTGGATTTCCTTTTACTTTTCAAAACATGATTTAATCTTCTTGGGATGGATTCGACTAATTTTTTTGTGATTTCTGGAGTGATTTTACCCCATTCTTCTTGAAGCACCGATTTTAATTGTTGTTTTGAAGAAGAAATGGTGTGTTTGCGAATTCTTGATTCCAATTCTTGCCAAATATTCTCTATGGGATTTAATTGTGGAGATTGTGGGGGTGTTTTTATTATTTCAGGACAGTTATACAACAGCCAGAGTCTAACGTTCAAAAGCACTGTGCTTGGGGTCATTGTCCTGGTAGAATTTAAAATCGTTATGAAGGTTCAATTTTCGTGCTGAAGATTTCAAATTTTGATTTAAAATGTCAATATACTTGTACTGATCCATTATACTGTCAATAAAAACAAGATTACCAACTCCAGCGGACGACATACACCCCCATACCATAACTCCTCCTCAACCATGTTTTACTGGTGTTACACCATGTTTACTTAACTCATTCTTTTTAGAATTTAATATCAATGTTGCCAAAATATTAAAAGTTAAAATTATACTTTGTAAACAAATACTCTCACATCTAAGAGTAGGGTTATTAATAATAAATGTTATTTTAAAACATAAATGGAACATTACATTTCAAGAAATGGAATGAAATTAACCTCATTTCATTTCCAGGTTCCTTTTACAACTTAATAATCAATAAATTTGAGGTTATTTCTGAAACGAATTTATTTTTATGATTAGAAACTTCTACATTAATTGGAAGCTTTTCATTCGGCATTTTCAAGGATTCTGAAAATATTACAAAGTGAAATCGAAAAGAATGTTAAATAAAAAATAAAACAATAAATAATAATAAAAAAAAAACTGTAACTTTCAACGACGTAGGTCAATGACCTCTATTTCGTAAACAGGCGGGAGGTATATCAGTATATCTTCGTGTATTTGATTAAGATTTGATAAATCAAGGGTAAGCGGTAGCATAAGTTTTTGATATCAGTATATCCTGTCCTTTTCCTAGCTTAAATACGTGCTTTTGTAATTCAAATAATACAGATTTTTTTTTTTTAAAAAACAAAATCTCTCATAGTATTTTATAATATCGACTTGACTGATCCAGAATTTTTAAACAAGATGAAGCTCGTAATATTAGACAATTATGATGAAGTAAGTACTTGGGCTGCGAAGTACATACGGAAACAAATTCGTCAATTCAAGCCTGACGCTTCTCGATATTTTGTGCTTGGTTTACCTACAGGTAATTTTTAATCATTTCAAACGCTAATACATATTGTTACTATAGATAGGTCGAATCGGAGTTTTTTTATGTAGGAATAATAACGTACATTTAAATGCTGCTTCATGACTTATCGTAACTGTAAATTATACCTGTAATTTTTGTTCCTGTGATTTAAATCATGGATACCAATATCTGAATTAAATATATTTCTCTACTTTTCATATACTATCATGCATATGTCATGCCTGTTTGGCTGGTTATTTGCATATTATGAATTAATTTATGTTATTATTAAAATTTAATATATGAGTTTTTATAATTATTGTAACATCCTTGTGGTTCTAGACTTCTGTACTACTGGAATTTGTTACTAAAATTTTCAAATGAAGCTTCTTACCAAAATATAATTTATTCAGCACTTGATATTTCAGAATTTTAAAAGCAAGTTTTTTGGACTATTTAAAAAAAAAAAAAAAAATCATGTATCATTTTTGAGCTATGTCCATGGCAAATAATTAAAAAAAAATGATTCAACTTTAATTTTGAAACTGAATTTATAGTATTTTATTATTGATATCAGTTATATTTAATTTGTGGTATACTTATTTTTAAATTTTATGATTTTTCCCCCCAAGCAGTTATCAAATAATTATGCTATAGAGTAGAAATTTTAGTCTTCATTAAATGATTGCTTTAACTTTTATCTAATTATTAAAAGTTGCTTTCTACTTATTATTTTAAAGTATAAATTTCACACATGTTTTTCCATAATTAACTATTTCTTGAGTTTTTAGCTTTTTGTTATACATTTTTATTAGTTGCATTAATATTTTAGCACTTTTTTTAGGATTATTTTTGAGGATAAAATTTATTAAATAACATTAACGAAATTCAGATTTTATTTGGCATTAATTTCATGAAAAGAAAGTAACAGTTTCAAGTACAGAATAGTCTTCTTTAGAAGGAGTTAGTGTATTTGTGCAGATTTTTCTCATTGAGAAAACTACTAATGCTGTTATCTCTCAAAATGCAATGAACTTCTAATCATTAAAGTTAAATTAAAATAAAGGTTTCATTTTATTAAAGAAATAAACTTGACCCTGGCAAATGTCAGACAAATTTTACATTTCATTTGATACTTTTGCAGATTCTAATTTTGTTTAATTGAAATCTATCACATGTCTATCTGTGTGTATTTGGGCATAAACTGTAGTAATAAATTTTTATAATTTTTTAAATTTTAAGCTTAAATATCCTATTATATTTAAGGTAGCACACCTCTTGGCACTTACAAGAAGCTGATTGAGTTTTGCAAGGAAGGAAGTGTATCATTTCGCTATGTCAAAACATTTAACATGGATGAGTACGTAGGTATGTTATTATTTTTCTAACATTCAATGACGTTTCGTTCTTCAAATTACTTACAAATAAGTTGTTAAATTATATTGTGTGTTATAAGTTGTTAAATTCTTTTCATAAATGAGACCTAATTTTATATATTAACTTAATTGCTGACTTTTTTTTTATCTGATCATAACCAAGTTTACGTACCAATTTTTCATTCCATACAACATGTAAGAAACTGTAAAATATAAAAATGTGTCCTGAGTATTCATCTGCAGCCTTTTTTTTTTTTTTTTTTTTTTTTGCTGTATTCATTGCCATAGATCTCAATAAAGTTAGAGTTTTGGTAAATTTGGCAAGACAGTAAAGAAATTGATATTTAAATATTAGAGATTAATCGTAACTGCTAGAGATATCAGTTTCCACTTGACAACTGGCAAGTCAAAATGGTTACGAAATTGTTAAAAAAATTATTTAAAAATTAAAGAGTTTTTAATATGCTTAGAGTTAGCTTTCAAAACATTTTTATGTAGAAGTATGTCTTTTAATTATTACCTCAGAGCTTGAACTACTTAAAAAAAGTGACATGTTAAAATTATTTCTAAGTGCTCTGTCAATGTATTTATCTTAACATGAATACCTTACTTTTATTCATATTTAAGTGCAAATTAACTGTATTCTAGGTCTTCCAAGGGATCATCCTGAAAGTTATCATTCTTTTATGTGGAATAACTTTTTTAAGCATATTGACATCCATCCTGAAAATGTTCATTTGCTAGATGGAAATGCAAAAGACCTGAATGAAGAGTGTGAAAATTATGAAAAGAAAATTGAAGAAGCTGGAGGAATTGATCTTTTTATTGGAGGTATATAATATATAGTTTCATTTTCAAAGCTTAAGATATTTTACTGTCATTGATTTGCTTAATATTCAGACATTTAAGAGTACCTCTTTAATACCTGGGCCTACCTCTTTTGAAAAATTCATTTTGAAATTATTTCATTTTATTGAACAACCTGTTTTTGGCTGAACAAGCAAGCAAACAAACAGAACAAAAAAAAAAAAAAAAAAAAAAAAAAAAAAAATTAGAGATAATTTTCATATTATCATTAAGACAAGAAAACAGTATTCTGCACTGGTTCTGTACAGTGATAGGAGGAAAATGCAAATTTTAAAAGATGTATAGTTATGGGATTTTAGCACATTTGGGGTCCCTTGTGAAAAACTATTTGATGGAAAATGCATGAATCTAAATTGGCATGTATCAAGCCACCCAGCACTCTAACTTGTTTCAAGCTATATTTTAAATCTGTATGAAAAAGAAATAAATGGGCTTATGACACTGAAGATATTGAAAAATGCTAAATTAAACTTTATACAATGAATATTGAACTAGTTTTTAAACATTTGTTTATGAAATTGCGAAGCGCTTTCATGGTGGATAAATAGTATGATGTATACACCACATGACTTCCTTTTACGGAATATTAAACTAAATGCATTTTTTCATGCATTTCATTTAAACTTATTGAATTGAATTAAATCTACTTCATTGATAGCACGTAAACCACAATAGAATAAATGTACTCTTAAAAATTCACTATATTTGTTTACCTTAACGACACTCTGGCACTAGGTTCACTTCACAGCGTTGCACGTGATTCATTTTACATCTCAGAATGCACAATAATTGTATCATCTTATAAGGTATTTCCCCCCATCTTCTTAGCATGCCTTCATGGTATAGTGTTCAGCATGCTCGGCGCGTATTCAAGAAGTCCGTGGTTCGAGTCCCAGTGAGGGCAGTGCTCATTTGTCATGTCTCCTGCTTCAAAATAACCTGATATCTGTACAGTGGTGTCTGAACTAAAAGGTGGTGGATGATGATTCTCCACCACCAGGATTTGGCGATTGGGTTCCCCTAATCCCCAGTCGCCCTTTAAAAAGGAGAGTATATAAGGTATTTCTTCTGCCTTTTTAGCATTTCTTTGTGGTGTAGTGGTCAGCACGCTCGGCGCATATTCGAGAGGTCCGTGGGCGTTGCTCATTTTTTGTGTCTCCTGCTTCGAAATAACATAATGTCTCTACAAACTGAAGAATTATCTAATTGTTGCGACATGTTCTATTCAAATACTATAATAAATCTAAGACAATGTATAAAAAAATTAAACAACAACAAAAAACAGTTTTTCACAGACGAGTCAGTATTTCTCATTCAATTAATTCAGTTCTCACTTGCGACAAGGCAAAAATACATAAAACTCAAAATATCTATATTAAAAATTACGAAGTAAATCTTAAAAAACCTATTTCCTCAAATAAATTTCAGAATGGATTAAACATGATTTAATTCGCAATAATAAAAGAAGGCATTTGTTGTTGCGAAGCTTAGTTTCTCTGGATTGGTAACAAATCCACTGTTCTGCTAAGTTTCAAATGTAAACAAATATGGCTTCTACAGTAAAATAATTAGGCTTATTCGCACTCAAACAACTTTTAAATTGTTGATAATTCTACAAATATTGCACGCAAATTTGCTAAAGGCACAAAAACCTTAACCGGGAGATAAGAACAACATAATTCAATTATTTTTAAAGCAAAAAATGCACAATTTACCAACTGTGCTCACTAATAAGAACTAAAAAATAAGAATAAAAAAACTGTGCTCACTAAGCCGAGTAAAAGCCATATTATATATAGTAAAATATAAAAAATAGGACGGCTTTGTTCTATGCGAACCAGCAACTTTTAATTAACTTTCCGCAATTTAGGTCTCCTCCCTAGACCAGTACCTTTAAGAACATTCTAACCTATTACATAACCGCTACTGTAAATAATGAATGCGTGCCATTTTGAAGTCAGAAGCTCGCCTCCTGTGCTATACGTCTCGCTGCTGCTTAATCTATCTTTCCTTTGTTAGAAATAATGATGACGCATAAAGTTTAAATTGAGTCGTACTTAGTTTACACTACTATTGAATATGTGATTTGGAGAATTTCATATGAAGTAAAGCATGATGTACAGTGAAAATTGAATTAAAGCTATGAAATAAAGATGTGTAATTAAAAGCTAAATCGTCTCGTCATTTGGATTTCGCCTTACCACTCTCTGCAAAAGCAATGCCTGAACTTTGATGCCAAGCTTCATCACGACTGCCGATATCATACATCATACATATATATATATATATATATATGTATATTTATATACTTTTGGTTCAGCCGATTGCAACCAAAAAGGGAAGTGCACATCTTCATGTTATAGCAGGCCTATATACAAAATTTCAACATTCTGAGGCTACTTGTTTTTGAGTTATGCGAGATATATACATACATACGAATGCATATCCGTACAGACACCATGAAAAAATCTCTTCTGAATCCATTTTAAATCAGTTTTATAATTCATTTGGGGAAGCAGCGTCTTTATGTATAGATGTTACGCAAAAACATCGTTGAATTGCATTTGATAGCAGTTGAAATGGACGTTTTCATTGAAATATGGTACCCGGAATTTTTCATGACTACAATACTTCCTTTGCAGAAGGAAGCAAAGATTGCACCCAAAATACACACATGTAAAATTTTAGTGATGTTCATTTTTCCACATGCATTTTCGGCTAGAAATTTGTGTACCCAATTTTCAAAGTGTATCTTTATTTTGTCTAGAGTATTCCTGCTTTCACTGTACATTGTAAAACTAAAAAAAAAATTAATAGAATCTTTAAATACAATTGTAAAAAATATACCATTTACCTCTTCCTTTCCTATTTTGTATCTTTTTTTATATTCAAAATGTTACAAAGATTTTGTTGTTTCATGATGAGCAGCTTCACACATAGCTGAATTTTATTTAGATGTAAAAGTACTTAATTTTGGAATAAATGCATAATTTCGTTTAGGTGTAAAGTATCCAGGGCCGGATTAAGACTATTGGAGGCCGTAAGCACTTAAAAGATTTTGGTGCCCATACATATATGTTTATGCCTTTGTTCATTCATTCTCTTTCTTAGTTTGATTTAGCTACACCATCCATTCCATAATAAAACTGCCAGTGGGAAATTTTTTGGTACCTCTTTTTCTAAATATATAAGTACCTTTTTGTAGTGCCCCCTTCCTTGATGCTTTAAGCATGTGCTTATATTGCTTAATGGTTAATCTAGCCTTGCATGTGCAAATAGTGCATAATATTCTGTGTCCATATTGAAATGGTTTTCTCGAAGATTTATAATCCTATATCAACACCTAAATTTATTCCTCTATCACCATCTTGGTGTTTTAGAATTTGGTATTTTTCAGTAAGATATGTCTTCATTATATAGGCTTTGCAATCAAATTCCAGATATCTCCCCCCCCCCCATCCTCTTTTTCAAGTGATATAATTAAATGCATGTGTAGTAAAGGGAAATCATGCAGTTAGTATCATTATTTCTATTTAAATATAGCAGTACTTTGATTTCCGATATGTATGTGTTTTTGAACTTTTGTGTCACTCAGCTTCACAATTTTTATGTATGTCTCTGTAACTTAATGCTTATTTTTTTGGTATTTTTAGTTATTGTAGAAGTTTTTGGTAAATTCACTTTGATATTTCAAAAATAATGAAGATTATATATAAAAGGAGCAAATCATTTTTATACATGAAAATTTAAATTATGGAAGACTATGTGTAAAAGGAATAAATCTTATTAAATATAAAAACCAAATTATGTATGTAAGGCCTCTATGCCATTTGATATATCTGCATCAAATTTGTCATGTTTGTGAAAAGAGATTTTTCTCTCGACTGAGATTCCTGTATGTCACTTTCAAACACCTGCTGGGTAGGGAATCGCCATGGCTAATAATAATTGCATTGATTGACACTAGCTGTGAGAACACTTTCTGCTCTTGAGTAGTTGTGCAGGAGTAATATTTTTCTGATCTAAACAATAAGGCCCCAAGACATATTTGTTTTGAGTGTGATGTTGCTATATATATATGTAAGATAAAAATATATGAATCAGAATTATAATATAACTAAAAACATTAATTCTTCCTCTCTATTCTAAAATCGTAATAACTTCTCTGCATTGCATCATTTCTAGATCACTCTATGGCCCGCGAAGCTCTGATGACGTAATAATTGTAAACCAAAAACTTTTCTCCTCGCGTGCTTCCATCTTTCATAACGACGCACTTCAGCTTTGCTCTTTACTCTGCTAAGATGTAATTTCGCTGGCTTGCTTTCTATCTTAACAATATATAAAAATGTAAATCTTGTGTGGAAAGGCACGACTAGTGCCAAGTGATTGTGGCCACAAATATCATTTGGAAATAAAAATGGAATTAAAACTGCTTCGACTGCCAAGTTCTTTAGATATTACCAAATTAGCATTACTAGCATACTGCGCAATCAAAATTCTTCTTCAATATGGGTTTAACTACGCATCTACAGTGTTCCGTTTTTTCCTTTGTGCTTTAATATGACATATATATATATATATATAAGGCATAATGGGAAGAGGAAAATAGTTAGATTTGGAAGAAATTCAAGTAACATAGCAAATTGCACTCTTCTTTAACTCATTTGATCCAGGATATTACTTTTTGCTGGCTATTGTTATTACAGCTGTTTTATCAAAATTAAAATTTGAATTTCTGATTGTGTCAAAAAGACCTTCAAATTCTGGAGCTGTAGCAAAATCAGCAAAGCATATTTGGTACGTGCATTCTGAAATAGCCTTGTCATGAGAAAACAGTGTTAGTGCATTTCGGGTTTAAGAAAGTGTGATTACAGAATTAGGTTAAAACAGCAACTTAATTTTGGCATAGATTTATGAATAATAAAGAAGGTGAAATTCCCCAATTAATAGCATTTGTGAAGAATGTGATAATCAGTGAACATGATATATTGAAATTTTTCATTGTGATGACGATGCTGCAATCAACAGTCAAGTAGGGAAGGGCAAAATCAGTGGTATAGTTTTAAATCCAGAAAATATTGCTAACAAAACTAGCAAAGAGATTTTTTAGAATAAAAAGATTTCAATTTATAGTTTAGTGGGTTCGCAATAACAGTACTTGAACAACTTTCTAACTGAACCAGAAATCATGTCTGTCTATAAAATTAAGGAGAAAGTAGCACAAAAAATGAAACAGCTTTAACCACTTAAATGTCACCAATCGAACATGTTGGGATGTGATTGGATGCCGTTTGCAGACTCTGCCCCTGCCTTGTTCAGAAGACGAACTGTGGCAAATGGTTGAAAGGGAATGAAGAGCCATTCCTCAGGACAACGTCCGCACTCTTATTGACTCTATGCCTAGATGTGTTTTTTCATGCATGGCTGTCCGAGGTGGTCCTACATCCTACTGAGTCGACTCCGTTCTCGCTCTGTATTCTATCATTTTGAAATAAAGGTCACTTATTGCTGCGTGCTGTCTCTGTCTTTTTTCCAGATTTCATCACTTTCTGACCACTCCTTCTTGGTGTTGCATTTTCAATGTTGAGCAGTTGTATGTATTATATGACAATGATTAAACAAATTTTACTTTAATTCTACTTTATTTTTCATAATTATGCCAATAATCGTACTTTTCAGGTGAGTAACAATTGTTTATCAGCAAATGTTATAAATTTTAAGATTTAATTTATGCTGAGTGATTAAGGAAAATATTTCCTGAGATTTCTGTGAAGAATTAGCCACTGTCAGAATTGACAATTAAAATGGTACTTTCTGATGTTTGTCTAGGCAATCATGGCTTGTAATCGGCTGAAAAAGGGCCACAACATTACATCGTGGATATTCTGGCAGGCAAGCGAGATCTTCAGCATTCCATTATTTTGTCTTAATGTTATCCAACAATTTCAACTGATGTCTTTGTTTCATAGATTGTTTTATGTTTAGCTTTATTAAGTAATATGACATATTTGAGTTGTTGACAATGTGGAATGTATATTTATGAATTACATATGGCTATATAGAAGGGAAATTAATTTTTATTTTAACTTAATTCCAGTAATTGCAAAATATATACAGTATTTTTTTATAACTTTCATTGTATAATTTTTTTTTAATACTGTGTTCCTATATAATATTTTTTTATACTTTTCTGTTAATTGGATGCCATTTAGCTTCAGAGATAAAGATAGACACAAAATCTAATGGGATAGTGGCAACCCTAATGATATGTAAAGTTTCAAGGAAAAAAGTGAGCTTGTAATAACATTAATGCATCATATAATGCACATAATGTTTAATGTGTACACATTAAACATTACACAGCTATCCGTGATTCAATATAAGCAGGTTACCACATTTGGTTGCATATTTGGTATCTGGCATTCTGTTAACAGAAAAAAAAAATTTTTTTTTCATAACAGAATCTTTATCATAATGTTTATTAATATATTTTAGGTATTGGACCTGATGGTCACATAGCCTTTAATGAGCCAGGTTCCAGTCTTGCTTCACGTACCAGGCTAAAAACATTAGCAGTTGACACCATTGAAGCTAATGCACGTTTTTTTGGCAATGATTTATCAAAAGTTCCTCATGAAGCACTTACTGTTGGTGTTGCAACTGTTATGGCTGCTAGAGAGGTATTTCATTTTTCATTCACCTCTTATAATTTTATATGAGTTATTGTGAAAATTATATATAAGTAACCAGTTATAATAATTATTTTAATTATTATTATTATAATGGAAATTTTTAGTAAGATCACAGTTTTCCTATAAATATTTATGAAAAGCAAAAACACTTTACAGTAATGGTGGTAGAAAAGATTGAAATTAAAAAGGTAAAAGCAAAATGCGTGATTTCTTATTTTGTAGCAAATTTGTTGTATTTACTTAAAATTTGTATATTACACATATAAAAGTAAAAATAAGTACAGTACAAAGTCCGTAATCCAGACATCCATTATTCTGAATGATCTATAATCTGGATCTCAAAGCCACAAACTTTATGCATGCGCGTAAAGAATGTGCATACATGACGCATGCGCGCGTTGAAAGAAATGTTTAATAAAGTAAACAAGTAAATATTAAGCTTTTTTTGTAAAATTTGATACCCTTTAGATCATAATTACTCTTTATTTCATAAATTATGGTTTCATATTTTCATTTGTATAATTTCTGCATGCCATCTTACCAGATCTAAATTGATTATCTATAATCCGGAATCGCCAAAGTCCCGACGAGTCCGGATTACAGACTTTGTACTGTATTAATGTTCTACATAAGAGACACAGATGCCAGTATATGAAATTGCTTATAGATTTAATCCTATGGAAGTGGTTTTAGCAAAGACAGTAGTGATAGTGTATTAAGAATACAGGGAATTTATTTTGGAAGCACTTATTAAAGCAAAACAGCTGTGCTTTTTTAAGCATAGAAGATTTTTAATCTAGTAAAACAAATAATTTTTATTGTCAATTGTATATGTAAATAAAGTGTGATTGGTTATTAACCCATGAGTACGTGCACCAGGTATTTCATACCCAGGCACATATTCTTTGTCCCTTATCTCCAAACCCCTTTCCTGGAAATGGGCGAAACCTTTTGTAGCTGATTTCAAGATCGCATTCTTGAAGCTGGGAAGTCCGTGGAGGGATTCTTCGAATACTTTTCTAGCATTTCTACCATTTGGGTATGTGACACCCACATGCTTTCTCACTTCTCTCAGATTTTCACTTTCTTAATTAGTCAGCATGGCGCGCCATCTAAGTTATGATAAAGAAACGGAACGTTTGAGAAATATGCTAGAAACCATTTCAACAGATGATGAGTTGTTTAAGCAAAGATTAGGTCAAATGTTGAAAATTATGCTGGTAAAAATAGCATGTTATGGAAGAAAAACAAATTTCAAATTAATGTTAGGACTAGTTCTAGAAATATTATCTTCAAAATTCCAGGAAATATTGATTATTCAAAAGATATATCAACACCATTGGATTACTGGTCTCTGCTCATTGACAAAGACATGATAGAAATTATAGTTCAATGTACAAATATTTACATTAATTCCATTCAGGAGGGGTTTCTACGTGAGCGTAATGCAAAGAAAATGGATGAATATGAAATCAAAGCAATTTTGGGTCTTATGTATATATGTGGTGTTCATAAATCCTCTTATGTCAGTGTAAAAGATCTGTGGGCAACAGATGGAATTGAAATAGATATTTTCCACAAAACAATGTCTTGCAAGTGATTCCTTTTCCTACAAAGATGCCTTCAGTTTGATAATATCCGAGATCGTCTGAGTAGAAGAAATGTGGATAAACTCGCTCCCATAAGACAGTTTTTTGAAAAATTCATTGAGAACTGTCAGAAAGCCTACACTGTAGGTGAATTATGTAACAACTGATGAAAAATTAGAACTATTCAGGGGACAATGTTCATTAAAGCAATACATGCCAAATATGGCATACAAATATTTGCACTGGTGGATTTCAGAGTGTTTTATACATGGAAAATGGAAGTATATGCCAGCCAGCAGCCAAAGGGGCCGTTTCAATTTGATAACAATGTAAGCACTATTGTAAAGCATTTGATGGGACCATTGTACAATTCTGGACGGAATTTGACTGTAGATAATTGTTATATGGGATATTAGCTACTTCAGGCCCTACTAAGGAAGAAAATAACTATAGTCGGAACTGTGAGAAAGAATAAGAGAGAAATTCCACCGGATTTCCTAATGAAGAAATGTGAAGCATATTCTTCAATTTTCAGTTTTCAGAGAGAAACAACAATTGTTAATAATAAATAAAAATTGAAAAAAAAAAAAAAAAAAAACCCACTGGATTACTAATAAAGCCAGAGATTATTTCATTTTATAATCTAACCAAAGAAGCAGTAGATGAAATGGGAGCAGCATATTACACAGTTAGAGTATCGAAATGGTGGCCTATGGTGATTTTTTTCTCGATTTTAAATGTTGCAGCAATTAATGCATGAATAATCTTACTTTCTACAAAAGAACCACCAACTCAGTTTATAAACAGGCATTCTTTTATCAAACCTTTAGGATTGAAGTTAGTGAAAGATTGCTCAGCAAATCATGCTCCCTTTGAAACTAAAAGAAAAAATAGTTTCAGGAGATTGCAACATGGAACCACCCTCTAAAAAGATAAAAACATTTACAGAAGATGCACTGAGCGCCCTAAAAACAAGGACAGAAAGACACGGTTTTTGTGCGAGAAATGTAATATCAGTGTTTGTATGGAGCATATGTGTTAAATCTGCCAGATATGTGCAAAATAATTGTAAGTTAAGTACTTCATTTATTGTATTCTTTAAAATATTCTAAAGTTCATTGTTTTTAATATTAATCCATATTTATATCATTAATGCAATTTAAAATGTGTTAATTGCTTTAAGGTATGATATACCCAGTGCACCTTCTCATGTTCGTAAATTTGGGCACGTGCTCGCAGGTTAAGTAAAGAGGCATCAGTTCCTTTAAAATTCTGCAGGAAGAATTAGCGCAACTTTTGCAGGTTCTCTGATAACTTTCATGGTTTGATGGTAGCCAACATTTGTAGTCAACAGGATAATACGTAAATATCATTGTGCTAGGTATGACTGAAGTTGGTGCTGAGTATAATATTGTATTCTTTCAAGATAAAAGGTATTTTACCTTACAGTAATATACATGAAAGTAACCACAAAATGTAAATGCAATCAATAAAGAAAACATTCAGATGTAATATTAAAAGTTGCATTTGAAAGTATGGATTCAGATTATAATTCGGTTTTCTGCTTCCTAGCCACCATTTCTAAAAGCAGTGTGATTTGTTTATTTTTGGCAAGAGAAAATTGTATTTACTTAAAGAAAGGATCTGTATATTAAATGATATAAGAAACAAATGAAATTGTCCACAAAATTATTGACTGAGTTAAATTGTCTGTGGGAGGTTATAAGTAGGGTTGGTTTTTTTCAGTTGGTCCATAAGCTTGACAGTTATTCATGAGAACAGTGGTTTTCTTTCATGGTAGTTGGTATAAGACAAAATTAGCTAACCTTGTAGTATGCAATCTATCACTTTTAGTTATTTATTTTTTAGGTGGCACCACTAAAACTGGATTTTAACCATATCATTTTTCCCTATTTTTATCACAAGTTTGAGTATGAAGTTACTGAATTCTTTTACTTTTTGAAGCTATTATGATTGAATTATGATTATGAAGCTTCTGAAATTTACTACAGATGCATGATGGAGAACCATAGTGCAGCTGTTTTTTGTCTCATTTTTGATTTTTTAAAAAGTTATTTAGATCACTGAGACTGAACTGAGAAGCATCATTGATATGTCACGGAAGCATGGAGATATGTTAATAAAAATGATGATTTTTTTTTGGCCATGCTATGTGACATATGTATATGACTGATAAAACTGGCCCTTTCAATGGCCACTCCTTTTGTTTTGTAAAATTGGAAGGAATTTAAACTTAATGGGTTATTAACGTAATCATTTCCATTTGCGTATTCTCAATTCTTTGCATTTACTTTCACATTTAAAAATACTATTCTAGTGGCACCATCCTAAAAATGTCTAACTGAAAAAGGTATATCATATACTACTATCATTACCCAGAGTTACCATAATTATGACAGACATCTTGAAATACCTTCATGTTTTATGCTGTGCTTTAATGTATTGCAGTTCCCAGTTGTTTCTATTTATTCTTGATATATATTTATAACAAGCTGATTTATAATAGATGATAAATGCTATTTTTTATGTATTTTATTGAATATAATTATTGAGCTTTACATTACAGGTGATGATTCTAATAACAGGATCTCATAAAGCACTAGCTCTGTCAAAAGCAATTGAAGAGGGTGTTAGTCATATGTGGACAGTTTCAGCTTTTCAGATGCATCCCAAAACAATATTTATTTGTGATGAAGATGCTACTTTAGAATTAAGAGTAAAAACTGTTAAGTATTTTAAGGGCTTAATGCGAGTTCATAATAAGCTTATTCAGCTAGAAGATGAATAAATTACAAATTAATTTTATACTTAAGTTACAGAGTATTTCTTAAGATATTAAATTATGTTGTTTAAATATACTGAAATATATGTGTGTTCCTATTGTGCATTTAAAAATATATTACAATAATATTTTGTTGCAAGATATAACTTTCATGTTTCTCCACCCTGTTGTGTCATGTGCTTTTTTAATGTAAAGGAAAGATTGTAATTTGAAGATAAATTATTGTGTTAAAAAGCTCATTTTTTTCTCATTTTTGATTTTTTTTTTAAAGTTATTTAGATCACTGAGACTGAACTGCTCAATCATTAAAGGTGCTATATAAAGCTGTTAAACAGGGTTGTTGAGTAGCATAGATAACCGGCATAGGTTATCTATAAATGTTATAGATTTGAAAATTGTTCCTTTCATGTTCAAACTATGTACTGTTAGCATGAAATTATTATTTTAATGTTCATGAAGGTGGTGATTTTGCTAATAATTATTTGGTATGTGAAATAAAATGCATTTTTGTATTTGGTAATACGTTAATATGTTTAATTCACACATGTAATAATATTGGGGTTTCTATCTATTTGCATTAACCCTTTGCCTTAAAACAACATGTGGGAGACATGTTGTTATGGCCAAAAGTGAGAACCACGTATCAGACATGTCATCTCTTTCTTGTGCCTAAAATGAGAACTTTGTATCAGACACATGATTATTTTTGCATTATTGTTATTATTTGTTACAGCTGCAGTATAAGAACTGGTTATTTACTATTAGGCCTAGTTGTATAGGTTTCTGAATTAACACTTGGTGCTTAAATTTTTTTTTTTTAATTTTAAAATTAATGCTGAAAAGGAAAATTGATACTAATAAGGCTGCTGGGAAGTGTCCTGGTTACACTTTAGAAAGTGAAACAGATTGTGAAACCAATTTGGATATATCTGATGATAGTGTAGTTTATTTCGTAAAAAAAGGTGCCAAATTTATTTAGTGATGAAAGCAATACTAATGATGAAGAAAATGTCAGCAATCAATTATCAGAACAGTGGATTTCAATAAAAAAATAGTCAACCCAAAATGAGAAATATACAGAAATTCCTGGCATAAAAGTAACATCTGTAGGTCATTAGAATGAAGATAGTGGAAAGCTAGACATTTTTTATGCAATAGTTGACAATCGTTTTGGAAAATTGTTGTAACAAAAACAAATCACTTATGCAGAGCAATCTATAAGCAATGAAAGTAGAAAAAGAAAATTGACAAGACTTGGGGTTTTGTAAATTGGGATGAGATGAAAATATACTTTACACTGTGTATTATAAAGGCAGAAGGTACAAAACCAAATACTATTCAATTGAATTTGACTAAAAGAAGAGATTCAGAAATACCAGTATTTCGAAAGACTACACTAAATTTTTTACAAATTTCTAGATGTTTACATTTTGCAAATAACAATATAGCTGATAATTATGATTGAATGAGTAAAATAAAACCTGTTGCAAGTTTTTTCAATCAAAAATTCAAAGAAATATATATTATAGAAGAGGATATCGTTATTGATGAATCCCTAATGAAATTTAAGGAATGTTTATCACATAAACAGTATAATCCGACCAAAAGAGCCAAATTTGGCATAAAGTTTTGTAAACTATGTGAATCGGCATCAGGTTGTTATCATTTTAAAATATATACCAATAATAACAAAACCCTGAAGATAGCACGTCTGAAATGTTGTCATGGAATTAATAAACTCGGTATTACATAAAGGACACACTCTATACTTAGATGACTGGTACTCTTCCCCACAATTATTTTTACGATGAATCAAAAATGAAATGAATGCAATTGGCATATTACGTTCTAACAGAAAAAATATGTTCATTGATTTTATGAAAGAACAATAAGGAAAGGTGAATGCGAAATGAGATCTAGCAATGGCATATTAGCCTTAAAGTGGAAAGAGAAGTGAGATGTTCATGTCTTGTCCACCAATCATGATAGTGTAGAAATGTTTGAAAGAAAACCTGATATTTTGAAAACTAAAATGTATAATTCATTATAATAAGAACATGATTGTCATTGATCACCAAGATCAAATGTTCGCTTGTGTCCCTATTATGAGGAAACACATGAAAGGATAGAGGAAACATTTTTTGTATATATTCGATATAGTACTTGATAACACTTAACATTTTGTACAAAAAGAGAAAAGTGTGCAGAATTTAGATAGTTACTGAAGAATGTACAATCAAACTGTGACAGATTATGACAGGTACCCTTTGGATATACAGAGAGACTGCAAGGACAAAATTGGGGACATTTTCCAAAATATATTGATTCAATGTAATCAAAACAAAAACCAGCAAAGACTTGTAAAGTATGCGCAGTGAAGTAATGTGGGAATAGGAAAGTGTAAAGTTGTATTTCATGTTCCCTGTTGCTTTTAGAAATAACACACTGGAATATTTTTAATTTCCTGTCATTGGTTTAAAATGTTAGTATTAAAACAATATAACTTCTAATAGATTTGAGTAAAATTTTGACTAATACATTATTAACTTACAGGCTAGAAATTATTCTTACTCACACAATAAATTTTACACTGCAAATATTTAAATGATTGAAAATGTTTACTTTTCCTGTTATGTAACCATAAAAATATTCTATGAAATGAAATTATTAATACATGATTTAATAAAAATGACATAAAGAATAAAAATAAGACTGTCAAATTCTGTGGTTTTATTAATTTGTAAATGCAGTACTATTTTCGTCCACTGGTTAACACAAAATGTGGACGTGAAGAAACTGCTTCTGATCACGACGCGTGAGTAAAGCTGTTTCCGAAAGTAGCACACAAAAGCATCGCTCAATTCATAAGGCAAGGGATTAATTGATTAATTTCAGAACTTACAAGAAACTGATGCAGTTTTAAAAATAATCTATAAAATAATTTAGTTACATCTACAATAAATGTCTTAATTTTATTTTTTATGTATTAGTTTCAAATAAAAGATTACTTTTTGTTGATTATAGTGAGTGTGAGGGTTTGCTAATATTAATTTTTAATATTCTAGATTAATCTGGAAAGTGTGAAATTTGATTATTTGTGATATTAAATAAGATTATTATTTGCATTTAATCTATTTCCTGATATATATGCATTAGGATGTTGATCAAATATAGTATATATTGATCTTAGATCAGACATGTATCGGGATGATCAAACATATATATGTATCTCTCACAGTCTTTGTAGAAGACGTAACTGCGGTTCGTGCACAGTTTTCCAACAGAGTGATCAATGTCATCTCCAATGAATTGTACGGTAGAGATTCTATTATGCTTCATCTGACACAGATCATCAACCAAGGCTCATCCCAACAGATGATACAGCTCGAACCATGCACAGAGAATTGCAGAGGATAGCAATGCATAGGTGCCTATGAGAAAACCACTCGTTTCTGTCCGATGTGCAAGAATTCGTTTGCAGTGGTGTCGGGAAAGAAGACAGTGGACATCTGAGGATTGGAAATGGGTAATGTGGTCAGATGAATCATGCTACACTTTATTTTGCACTGATGGAAGACGTTGAATTTGGCGAGAAACCCATGAAGCCATGAATCCATCTTGCCTTACTCACACTGTGCAAGGGTCTGGTGGCAATATCATGATGTGGGGCATGTTTTGCTGGCATGGAAGTGGTGCCCTTGTGTTCCTTGGGGGTAAACAAACAGCCATGAGATACCTAGGTACACTGCAGATCAAGTGCACCATATCATGGTTGTAACATCGTCAAATAAATAAAACCTTTTCTAGGCTAAATATTTCCTTATATATATATAACTATATACACTGAAGTGACAAAAGTCATGGGATACCTCCTAATATTTTGTCGATCCTCCTTTTGCCCGACGAAGTGCAGCAACTCGATGTGGCATGGACTCAACAAGTCGTATGAAGTCCCCTGCAGGAATATTGAGCCATGCTGCCTCTATAGACGTCCATAATTGTGAAAGTGTTGACGGTGCAGGGTTTTGGGCACGAACTGACCTCTCGATGATGTCCCATAAATGTTCGATGGGATTCATGTCGGGCGATCTAGGTGGCCAGATCATTTGCTGGAATTGTCCAGAATGTTCTTCTAACCAATCACGAACAATTGTGGCCCGGTGACATGGCGCATTGTCATCCATAAAAATCTCATCGTTGTTTGAGTATGTGAAGTCCATGAATGGCTGTAAGTGATCTCCAAGTAGCTGAAGATATCCATTTCCAGTCAATGATCGGTTCAGTTGCACCAGAGGACCGACTCCATGCCATGGAAAAACAGCCCAGACCATTATGGAACCCCCACCAGCTTGAACAGTGCCTTGTTGAAAACTTGGGTCTATGGCTTCGTGGGGTCTGTGCCACACTCGAACCCTACCATCAGCTCTTACCAACTGAAATCGTGACTCATCTGACCAAGCCACGGTTTTTCATTTGTTTAGGGACCAACCGATATGCTCACAAGCCCGCTAGAGTCACTGTAGGCGATGTCGTGCTGTCAGTAAAGGCACTCGAGTCGGTCATCTGCTGGCATAGCCCAAGGAATACAAATTTCGCCGCACTGTCCTATCGGACACGTTCCTCGTACGTCCCACATTGATTTCTGCGGTTATTTGACTCGGTGTTGCTTGTCTGTGAACATTGACAACTCTACGCAGACGTCGCTGGTCTCAGTCGTTAAGTGCAGGTGGTCGGCCACTGCGCTGTCCATGGTGGGATGTTATGCCTGAAATTAGATACTCTCGGCACACTCTTGACACTGTGGATCTTGGAATGTTGAATTCCCTAACGATATCCGAAATGGAATGACCCATGCGTCTAGCTTCAACTACCATTCCGCGTTCAAAGTCTGTTAATTCTCGTCGTGCAGCCATAATCACGTCAAAGCTTCTTCACATGAATAACTTGAACACAAAATAAAGGCCCTGCCAAAGCACTTCGCATTTATACATTTTCTATGCGATACTACTGCCATCTGTATATTTGCATATTGCTATCCCATGATTTTGTCACTTCAGTGTACAGATTACATTTGATAAGAACTTTAAAAAACATTTTCACTATAGTTAAGTGTGTAAAAACCACTTCTACTCATCTCTTTTCACATCTCAATCTGTTCTTACTCCCACCTGCTCTTCCGGCCGAGGCGAGAAGAGGGTTCTCTGCTCCTTCTTTTAGGTGGGTGACCAAGTGTTCTTCAGAGAAAGGAAATGTTACAGCGCCTTGTAATGTTGCATTTTTACCGTGATACTTCATGGATGATAATGCAATTATACATCATGCCAGAAGTGTTCAAAAGTGTTTCATTAACATCAATCTGACTTCCAACACCTTCCCTGGCCACTGCCATAGCCTGGATCTTAACCCCATAGAAAATGTGTAGGATATGGTGGAAAGGCACATCCCACAGCGATCTCCTCTTCCATCTAATTTACCTTGTACGGAAAAGTATGTATGCACAACATAGAAGTGAGAATTGTT